GGCAAGTTAATGATCCTTGAAGTTATTATGACATCTTATGCCAAATTAAACCCATTTCAGAATTCTAACATAACTAAGATAACAAAATCTTACTGTAATTTAACAACAAACAAGTGGAAAATTTAAGTGAAGGCTTGGTTATACAGCACTATCACTTCTTCTGTATTATATCCCCAAACACCCAAAAAAAATGGATAAAAGAAAGGCATTTTCCAGAGTCTTCCCACATTTAAGGCTTCAGAGTCTCTTAGTATTTGAAATATTACTGGAAGTGTTCCATGCAATTCCCTGAACAGGGATCTAAAAATAACTGCAGACACAGTAGTAAGTTTTCATCTATATTTGCAAGCCCCTTACATCTTGCTCAGGAACCACTACTTCCTACTTACGCTGACTTTTAAAAGGACCTATTACTCATTAATACACATTAAACAGTTTCACAACTGTAGAGAACATCAATAATAATAATTAAATTGATACTTCAGTGGTGGATCATGAGTATATCCTGCACATTAACTGCATTAAAATGGATTCCTTTTGCAACCTCCTTGCATTGCCTCACTCCCTTCTGCAAGAAGGTAAATTATCTGTGAACACAAAAGTCAGAAACCAGTCTGGCTGCATTTGAATAAATGGACACAGTTGCCTTATCTGCTAATAGGCTTTGGAGTTCAGAGTAAATAGCCCCATCAATCCTGAGGAGATGAGAAGATAATTTGTACCACTGAAGTAGTTCAAGAGCTCTTGAAATACAAAGTTAGACTAGAAAGACTTGGTATTCTGAAGAGAAAGAGCAAGAGTAATTCAATTTAAGATACTGCTTTGACTAAGAGTATTTAGGATGGAGATAAAACAATATGCATGTTTTAAAACCCCAACCTAATAAAAACAATGACACTTTACTTCAACGTATCAATGAAACCAGATGATTGGCTTTCAAATCTGCTCATTTTTAATATGACTTCTGTGATAGTGCTAGCACATAACATGCAGCTGGTTTTAACCATGACTTAAGTATCACCTACTTGCACGAGGAGCTCTATTTAGCCCATCTTTACCCACCCTGTTAACAGGGATGTCCTTTCCCTTTGTATGCTTGGTTCTAGACACATCAAAACAAAGAGAATGGCTTCTCACATTCTCCCACTGGAAACAAAATAAAATAAAATCACCACCACTATCTGGACAACATGATACTTATGCTGGCCTTGGTCTCCACACTTTATGATGTTGTAGGAACTTGCATTATTACGGGTGCAAGAAAACCTTTCAGCTCATTTTAGCACACGCACCTGAACTCAGAATACCGAAATACTTGTTACAGGCTCAAATTGAGGAAGCTCCCTCCCTTCCAGCAAAAGTGTACCTGTGATTTCCAGTCCCTTACTACGAGGAAGCACTCAGAATTTGTCTCCACCTGCTGGGAAGGAAGAATTAACACCCAGCTGCCTAAGCCACCGCAGGCAACCTCCAAAGATCAAAATGTTACGGGACATTTTCAGACACACGATAAATGTGTTCCTTTCTAGCACACAGACAGAAAATGCGGTAGGATAATGAGGGCAAGGGAGAAGAGAGAAGAATCACATACTGATTACAAAGGAATTCCTTATTCTAGTAGTTAAAAAGGACAGAGCCGTGACAATGCAGCAAACACAATGAAGCTTTTGTCCCCGGACGATTTGGCTTGCATACAAGGAACAGAGGAACTTGGGGCGGTGGGGACAGACTTGGGGGGGGGGGGGGGGGGGGCGGCTGAGGTTTGTGAAAGGAAAGTGAAATTGGTTGGTTTGCTTTAAGAAAGACAGGGGAAAAAAAAAAAGGCAGAAAAGCACCCTGTCATTGTAGAATCCACCCACTCGTTTCTGAAAGGCTCAAAGACCCAGACATGGATTTACAGCCAGCACTTCTAGGCTGAAGCAGAAAACACTCAAATGCCCAGAGGCAGCTTCTGTGGTCCCAGAGCAGCAGCTTACAGATTGTATGGCTATGGTCGGAGCCATTTTCTTTCAACAAGTTTCCTGCTGCTGAGTCAGTCCTTTCGCTCAGTTACAGCCCATCGGAAGACACCTGGATTGCTGTAATTTCCAGCTGCTGATAACCAACCAAAACATCTTTGTTTTATGCTTAAAAATGCTTAAAAACATTTTTAAGCAAAGCTACACAACTTGTTGATGAAATAAATTCCGAAAACAGACCAGTAAAATCCTCTGGCTTAGAAGTCGGGACAGCATTGACTGGAGGAGTAACTGCTGGAGCCAAAGTACTGGCAATAATAAAACGAGGTGATGTTCAGTTGACTCTGAAGCTGTGGTGAAGAGAACACGAGTGCTGAGCAAGGCCGTCAATTCTGAACGTTTCTGGACAACGTTTGAAAAACCACAGTAATGTAAAGCTTTAAACTTGAGAAGATTTTAAAACTAGGATAAGGATAATAAATACAGTTCAAACCAAGCATATTCCATTAAAGAGCTTACTTTAAATAAGAGAAGTATTGCTGATTCAGAGGTTCTCTTCAGCCTTAGCTAAAATCAGTTCAGAAAATAATGATTTTCTTGGAGTTTGCTAAACCTGGCGTTTATTTATTTACATGAATCTATTTCCAGGGAGGGTTTAAACTAAATTAAGGTATAGGTTTATATATGCTATATGCAATTATAAATGAGGCATCTCCCTAAACTATCTGCTTTCTGCAAAAAGTTTAGCAGTTCTAAACTGCCTAAAAAACGTAAAACCAAAACAACAAAACCTGCCCTGGTTCTAAGCTCCTCACACTTGGGCTGTGTGTTTTGCTGGGTCTAGAAGCAAGGCCAAGAACAGGTTCAAGTTATTAAAACCTCAAGTTCGTTTAGCAATCAATCTAAAGCCAGTATTTGTACCCTTGAGAACAGCCCATGATACAAAAAAATAAATTATATATAATTTAGAAATGAAGGTGTTTTATAATCCAGCGATGCAGCCTGCAAAGGAAAGGAATAGCACTTGGGAATTTTGGGATGTTACTGCCACGGATGCACGAAGCAGGACTGAGCTGCCAACAGTGTTCTGCAGTACACTCTCTCTCTCTGCTTTGATAAGCACACAGCTCTGGTGCTGCAGCAGCTCCAGTTACCCTAGTAACGCTAAGCAGGTCACATGAATGCCATCCAAACAGACATACGATAGAACTACACTGCGATGTTGAAGATGAGGATGCATTAAATGATCACTTGCATGCCTCTATGCTTCATTTTTGCAGAGCTTTTTTTATTTTTTATTTTTTGGTATTTCCTGTTTAATCCTGATCTCAAAGCCAGAGAATGCAGAGGTAGGCCTACTGATCTTGGAATGCTATTTATTCAACAAGCTAGACTTTCCCCCACCCCAGTTTGATGCAATTTTATTGCTATCTAGAATAAGGATGAATATACCACATGATCCCAATCTGAATTTCTCCATAAAAATGAAACTCATGCATGATCACAGTGTTGCTGAGAAAAAAGAAAAAAAATTAATAGGCAACTGATGCAATTATTGCTCATTATACTGGATTCTCTTAGTAGTTGTCTCATGTTAAATGCAAGTCCCCCATGGCATGAACCAGCTTTTTATTCCACATTTGAACACAGCAGAACAGCAAAGGCCTAATCTGTTTCTGCAGATGCTAGGAATTATGAACCAAACTCCCTCCTCCCCACGGCACATCCCCCCTCTACGCCCAGTGTAGTAACATGCAAGTTGTTTTTTAGCCTAAGGAAACAACATTTTTACTACCATCCTGTGATGAATTCACCTCATCATTTTACTCATTCTTCAGCTATTTTCAAGGTACTTCAAGAAACAGGTTTCAAAGATGCACAGCAAGACCCAAACAGGTACCTTAATAGCGGAGACAGATGAAGACCTAAGGTCTGCATTATGAGTTTAACTACACTACTGAACACCGGAGAAGCCACGAGAAGCAATAGCATGAAAAAACAAGGAGAATCTCATCACTACAAATTTTTCTAGTTTTTCAATAGTCTCATCGAGTTCCTGTGTAAGGGCCTAAGGAAGACTATTCAGATGCATGTTTTTAGGCTCTAACTCCAGTTAAATGACATTTATAACATATCCAGGAATAGGGAATCTGACCTTTAGCTTTCTTTAAGAAAAGCTGAATCCAGTCTGTGGACTGGAAGCAAAGAATTCTAGCTGCAGATTAAGCCGTTATTGATACTCTAAAATCACAAAGATACATTTATCATAAAAAAAAAATAATCATCCAGTGTCATCCTCTAAGAACCAGCAACAGAGACACCATGTTGCACAGTTCTCTACCTCGTTTCACTGAAAAGGAAATGGAAATAAAAGAAAAAAAAGCCATCTCCATCTTGGGCACAGGAATAAAAAGGAGTGGAATATGAACAGCTGTCAGAAACACATTCCACACCAGAAGTGCAGTTATTCTGGTGCTAGAGCATGAAAACCTAATAACAAGAAAGCAAGCAAGATTGCACATTTTTCAAGCTCACTGTCATCTCTCGGTTGCTTATCCAAATTTCACTTGCAGGCGTCAGGATGAAAAGAAACAGTCAAACAGCAGCAGCCAGAATGGGTGGTGTATTCACTTCAAAAGATCTGCATGCAGGAACAGTTTGCCAGTATCAATACAGTGCAAGCTGGCAGGACTGGAAAGTTACAAATTAAGCGTGCCTTCATCAGTGACCTACTATGAACAGAACTACTGAGCTGCTAAAATATTTTTAGTTCAACCAATTCCTGCCTTTTTTGGTTCCTCTTGCTCTTCCAGTTTATCCAGTCGCGCACTTTTCCACTCCCTCTCACTGCCATGTAGTTTTTCAAGTTTGGCTCCAACCACCACTTGTTCCTGCTGCTGAAGCGCTCAGATTTACAGCGTAACTACAAACAGCTCACATGGTGGCTAAACCCTGCACGTAGCAAGCCATCTTTCAACTGTGGAGATATTTATACAGCAGGGAAGCTTCTTCCCCTCCCACCAGGGGAAGGGCTGCACTCACCAGCTGATACTCGCTCCGACGGCTGAAGGCTTCCTTGATTCCTGAGTCCCTCCACAGGGCGCACAGCGCAGGTACGTACAGCTGGAACGTGGCAGGCTCGATGGGCATCCCAGCTTTGTTTTCAAAAGCCATCAAAAACATGCCGTGCTTCTCATTCTCCGTGTACTGCCAAGGGATTCCCAGTTTGTCCCGTGCATCAACCAGAACCCTGCAGCCCTAAAGAATAATTTGGATATAAAGTCAGTGATGAAGAGATTGAAGTGGAAAAGAACAAGAACTCGGAGTTGCCTGAATTTCAGGGTTTGTTTGTTTTTTTTTTTTAAACACTACTCTGATGGGACTGAACTCAGGAGAGAATCATGAGCATTGTTCATTGCACCACTCCACCAGAAAGAAGATAGAGCAAGCTTGCTCAGATCAGCAAACTAGCCACAATGTATTTCTTAACATGGAAAAAAATATTAGCAGCAGAACAAAGACTATTACCAACAGATTAAAAATAGAAGTACACACTGATTACAAAGAGTGCCTGGGAACTAACTTAGTTTCTTGTCCGTGGCAAAAATTCAAACAGACTTAGGTTAAATAACTTTAAAACTTCAGCCTTGAATCTAACACACCTGTTCCTAATAGCTTCAGATGGACAATATTTATTTGCCAGTAGTAAGAATCATTTTAATAATGGATAAGTCTTAAAGGCAGCTTAGCATCTTCAGCACCATTTAATTCACAAGCAAAAATCTGTGGGTTATATTAAACAACCATTTGTTGTGCTGGTTTTTTGGGGTAGCATTTTATGAAAATAAACTGTAATATAAAGTAACAGTATTGAAGTTGTCTCCAAAGCTATGCACATGAACCTCCACATCACTGAGACTGATTGTTGTTTTGTGTACTTCAAGCTATCAAGGTGGCAAGCATGCTTTCTCAACACTTGAAGTTTTTGCGTCTCCCACCCTTTAACAACACCACAAAGCAGGAGCAGTAACTTCTCCAGTGGAAGCTGAAGACTGGGGAGGGAAATGCAGAGCAACTCAGTCTAAGTGTCACAGAACAGGATCCCAAAACAAAGCATCTCAGCTGTCATCATACAAGGAGTGCTCCTGAAGTGCAGCCACCCAAAAATGTAAATACTTCATTCTCCAGCGTTTCTTACTTTCTTTTTATGAAGAAGAGAACAGATCTTGACAGTACCAAGAAAACTGAATACATTCATGAACTTCTAGAGTAAGTCCCAGATGTCCAGTGACTCTGTTGCACAGCCCCAAAGCCCATTCCCATTCCTAGTTACAGAATGCACTGCTTTATTAGCAGAAGTCCTTTCATTTGCTTTATTTGAATGGCATCAATAAGCACAAGCCTGAAGGAAAAAAGCAACACATCCAAGATTCTATGAACTGGAGATGCCCACATCACATCTCTTGACATTATAGATTTTTCTGCAAGCTGTACAGCAGTCACCTGTGTACAACTCGAAGTCAGCACCGGTTCCCTTCAGCCCCAGCTGAACATTTCATAATTCATTACTTCCAGAAACACTGTTGTAACCAGGACAGATAAGAGAACTGCTATTTCTAGATACCTGAACACCATGTTCATTTCTGTATAGGGAGAAGTTGTATTTATGGACACAAACGGTTAACTGGGCTCTGCCAGCGCACAGGGCTCAGCTCTGACCTCTCACCAGCTCCAGTTCCCTGCAGCCATCCTCGGCTCAGCCCCAGCTTTTCCATCCTCAGCCTTCTGATGGATTTAACCCTCACCAGCTCACAGCCACTGCTGTTCTCTACGGGCATCTCAAGCAAACGATGGCAAGAACTCTCAGTTGCTGCTAAGATGTAGTGGTATTTGGACTTCAGACTTGATGCCTTTCCCTATACTGTTGCTTTGCCTTTTACTGCTCCCACCGGAGACGTGCAGGATCTCCAGAGACTGTTGTTAAGGAAAGTTCCACCATTTGTTTGGAAAAAAACACAGAAGAGAATTTTAATCACGGGTGTAGAGACTGCTCCAGTCCCAGAATAGTTACTTATCTGCTGGCTGCAGCTTCTTGGCAAAGCAGGTCTGAATGTCCATCGGGCAAGAGAAGGAACAGAACTCCCTGCTCAAGGTTACCTGTGGGGAGCATACACTGCCTTCCTGTGCCTGCTAGAGAGGGAGGAAGGGCTGCCACCAAACCACGTGCACAGCCTGGCCTGGGGTGAGCTGGCAGTCAGACAGGGGCATCAGCAGAACACAGACCTGCACACAGCAGGTCAATTTTAAACATGGAATGAAGATCAGAAATGGAACATGGGTTAGCAGAAATGGTGCCCTGTGGATAACCACAGGAACAGTATTTCTCTAGTCAGGATGCTTACAACACACCAGCTTTTAAAACTACAGCTAAAATGTCTCACAGGTAGAAGCCTGACAAAAGCAGCATAGCCAATGCTTCCTCCCCGCATCTCTTAGTGGTTAAATATATTTATGACTCAACAAGATTCCCCAGGAAGGTTAAATTAAATCTAATATTGCAGCATCTTCCCCAAAATATAAATGCTATGGGCAGATGTCAGAAAGATGAGGAGAAACAAATCTCCAAAACAAAGTAATCCTTACCTCAAAAATCTGGGGTGCAAGCTGGCACAGGAAAGGTTCCCTCATTCTGCTTCCAGTGCAGCACCCATTTCACACTAAGCCTTCCCAACACTGACATTTTTACTGATTTTCTACTACTAAGGAAACCACCAATTCTCTCTTTCATTCAGAGGGCTAAATATTGTCAACTGCTGTAATGTTTTCAAAACTGGAATACAGAAAAATGTGGCAAAAGCTTTTGATATGAACTTCTGAACAGCTTGGCTGAGCTAAAGGTTCCATGCTGCAGAGCAGACGTGGAACAAGCACAGGTGGAAAGAACTCAACTCCACAGATAAGGATGCTGTCAAACACTAGAAGGAGGCAAAACAGCAGCGTACAAGAATGTTAGAAAGGAAAAACAAGAAGGTTCTCTGTCCAATTCCTTTCCTAGCAATTTTTAAACACATCCAAGTCACTGTACAATGCACGTAACATGAATGGAAATAAGTCAGAATCAAAAAGGTGCAAGGGAATTGTGATGTGATCTATCTCACAAAGTATCTTACACAGAATGAGATACTAAACAGATCGAAATCTACAGCTTTGACAGAACTAAGGCATGACATACCAGAAATCTGTAGAGAGTAAAAACTATTTACAGAAAAGAAATAGATTATTTGTTTTTATCCCTTCACTGCACAACTACTTGTGTACAGCAACACAGCTGAGTTCAACTACAAGGAGGGATTTCTCCTACACACCCCATAATGAGCCTAACTCAGTTACAGAGGATGCTGGCCAGAAGTATAAATGGACTCACAGACCAACCAAGATAATTTCACAGAGGAAGGCCCCAAGAGGACTATTCGATTACATTCCAGATGCAACTCCTGGCTCAAGAAGTTTCCAAAACCAAAGGCTGGTAGAGAAGCCCACAGCATCGCATTGCCCTGTTCTTGTACCCAATTGTTTGTGTCAGAGACAGAACTCCAAAGCACTGGCCTGATGGAGCACAGCTGTCAAGGCACTGAGCACAATGTTTGCTGCCCATCAGCAGCACAAAGGCCTTCTGAGCATTTCCACAAATGCTTACAAGTAGGACTGAAATATATTTTTCCTCCTTCTCTGAGTTACTTTGTGGGATTATAAGAAAGGCTATCACCAGCTAATTTCACTTGAAACCAGTGGTACTTGGCAATACACGAAGAGAACAGCTGCAGTATGTAAGAAGCAGCTTGACTTAGGAATATCTTACATCAGTATTTATCACCACTTAAAACACAACACTCGTTTCTTAAATTATTCACCTGTTCCAGTACTTGAAGGCTTATCTCTCCTAGAAATCCCACACCTTCTACCAGATGGTCCAACTCACAGCTGGGTGAAGGCAGCATGGCTGAGCACCAAACAAGCAGTGCAAGCAACAGGTCTGGGGAAGATGTGTTCATAAGGGAGGACCAGATTCACCTGCACCCAAGCCTACAGCCAGGCAATGTTGGCTATTTATTATAGCCAAAGGTCTAGAGACAACTTGCAAAATAGAGCTGGTATACAAATAGAAAAATCTTTTACACTGATTTTTTTTTTTTTTTTTTTTTTGCAATCATTTTATGAACTACACAACACACACAATATTGCAGCAATGCTGAAAGCTGTTACTATCAATACGCTGCTCAACCTCACACCAAAGCCCTCGATGTTCAGCAACCAAATCACTCACAGAAATGATTGTTGTAAGCAAAATGCAGGTCACTGCTTAATTGTGAGGCTCCAAGTCAGAGCTAATAGGTAACACTGCCCTTCCCTATGGCTTTGCACCACCATTAACACTGCAGGCAACAGGAGATCAAAACATCTTTCTCACTGTGCGTGCTCCTCCTCGCTGCTGGCAAGGACCTGACAGCATTTGAGGATCACAATTCATAGCAACTCATACAGAGCTGAGCTACGGAGAGAGCTCCCACCTTGATCTGACATTTCTGCTGTGCCCTTATCCATGTGGAAGCAGCAGAAAGTGATGCAGCTGGCAGCAGCACAGAGCCAGGAAGGCTGCTCCAAAAATCTGCAGCAGCTCTGTGAGTGCCAGCACGAGAGAGCAGAACTGCATGGCAGAGATGGAGCTGGCTTTTTCAGCAGCACTGCTCACTGGCAAATAGAGATGATAAAATGTAACCTATGTGTATTTTTAGAAAACAGCTCTTTAGGTTCTAAAAGAAGACATTTTCAAATGCATGTTTTAAAAATAAAGTTGTCAGAGTTTGGAGATATATTCACATGCACTTTTTTTATTGCCAACTAGAACACTGGGCTGAAGGAGATCTATTACCAAACAAAGCTAATTGCAAGACTGTCAGATTTGCACAGCGTGGTCTCATAAAGGCATTAATGATGTTTTGATTTGATCTATGCCCTTGGAAGTTCATCTTCAAAGAGCAGAAAGGAACCCAATGCCACTAAGGAGGGAGCTTCGTGCTACAGAGCAGTTCATCTAACAGCCAAACACCACCAGAAGGGGCATCCTTCCTGGTGCTGTGGTTCCACCCTCCGCCATCTGAAGGCTTTGTCATTACTTTGAGCCCACAAATAAACACCATGAACATTAAGGAACATTTGGATCAGCCACTGAATCTCTGAACTAGGAGCAGCAATGTCTG